CCGAATCAACCCTCACAAGATGTCTAACAGATAAATTTGGATGCATTTCACACCACCCATCATCACCCATAAATCTGTCAAGTCTTTCACGAATAGAAATCTCTTCCAAATTTCCTCAATGCCACGTGAATTTGTTCCCTTTATAACCCAAGTCTCTCATTCCACAATGATCAACGGCTTCTCTAAAAGCATCCATTAGACTCTCACGCCTCACAACACCACCCTCTTTTTCCGACATACTCACGATTTCATTGAAATCGCCAAACATCAAACAAAGGATATTACAATCATCTTTAAGATTTTTCATCAACTCCCACGTTTTATGTTTATTCACACCTTCCGACCACCCATACACACCAATAGCCCTCCAACACGGATCCCCATTTCTATTGCAAACATCCACAGCAAAATGGTGATTTGAATATGAAATAGTCGAAATATTCACATCCCACCACCAGAAGTCAATTCCCCCCGATCTACCAGAACTACTCAAGCACACCCCATTATCAAACCCACAACGACGTTTAATTCTCTCCAACACCTCAACATCCATTTTAGTTTCCATTAAGAAAACCACATTCGGCCTCTCCCTCCAGCATAAGTCGTGGAAGGTCTTCTCCGTCGAAGGGTTGCCAATCCCTCGGACGTTCCAACTCAAAATTTTCATTGCTCTTCGAGGGAGTAGTCCGTGCCACTACCCTCTACTTGGTTTATACTGTCACCAGTAATAAAATTCATATCAGTTTTCCTTCTTTTGTCACCACCACACTCCCCATCATCAACTGTCAAATTTCTTTTATTGTTGTAAGAAGAACCATTGCACCCCACCACCTCCCTCTCAATCCCAGACACACCAATATAATAACTCTCATCCATTCTAGACACTCTTTTCCACTTCCCACTACCCTTCACTTCCCATGATATTTAGTCTTCTGCCCCATCACACATTCACCACTCCCCCAATCTCCTTGCGCCAGACTATTATCACCTTCATAATTCCCTAGACTCCCATCATTCATGAACAGACTAACCCCCATAGTATCATCATTCACAAATCCTTCCTTCATACCCCCTTCCCCCACATTCTCACCACTATCCTCCGTCTGCAACCTATTATTTAACTGTTCATAGCTCAGCTAATCCTCCATTATACTCCGTGGTCTGAGCACAGATTTGTTACTATTAGCATCATACACCAACGCCAAAGTGGCCTCGCGTGCCTTCGGTTGAGGAGTCAATTCAGGTTCTTTTGAAGAGGCAAAATGTAATTTTCTTGCAACACCAACAAGAGCAAGTTTTATAGGTTTTGGAGAGCTAGAACAACCAGTCCCCCCTTATGCTACCAAGTTTCTCACCCCACTTCCTCTCCTTTTCTCTGTCAGCATAGGATTTAGAAAAGTGTTTTGCTGGAGATGCCCTCAACCACGAACCGTACTGGTAGACTAAAACCCTTTCCGACGCATCATCCTCTGCTTTTGCTTGACACTCTTTATCAGTATGCTCCAGCCTACCACAAAAAAAAAAAAAAAAACAGAAATTCCCTAATCTCTCATATTTAAGATCAATCCATTTTGATTTTGCACCTCTCCCAACCACAAAGATCCCCCGTCTCAAAGGCTTACGAACATCAACATTGACTTTCACACGCATGCATTCCCCCCACCCAGAGGATTTGATTCATCAAAGTCAATAAAACCACAAAGGGATTCACCAACATCATACATAAAAGAAGAGCACCTCTTGTTAAAAGGAACGTCAAATAACCGAATCCACATCGGTGATGTATGGAATTCGATTTCAGAAGGCTGTTCTCCTCCTTGAATTTCCTTTTAAACTAACAGTTTTCCATCGAAGAACCATGGCCTCCCCTCAAGGATCTTCTCCTTATCCTCCTTCTTGAAAAATTGAAAAACAAAAAGGTTTGTGTCCACCGCACTAATAGTAACATCGTCACACAACTTCCATATCGATGAAAGGGTTCTTTTCATCGCTTAAAGTTTTTATCGTCCACAATTTACCAACTAGAGTAAGATGAATTTGGTCCTTCAACGCGACTCCTTCATCGCCCTCACTGCCATTACCCACCACCAGACTCTCCTCTTCAGTGAGTTTGAATTTTTCCCAATCCTTGATCAGATCAGATTCCATTGCACGCTTAGATGAAAAGCAAGAGCACCAACAGGATCACCACAAGAGAAAACTACAAACCCTAAGCAAGGACGACTAAACCCTAGTCGAGGGACTTTTACAGGAGCCCGAAAAGTGAGTAAATATTTAATATGAAGAAACATAAATTAATATATACTTAGTTCAAAAAAATAATTTTATAACTAATTATCATGTAGGTAAAACCATTCAACAAGCCACTAAGAAACAAAAAAAAAAAAAAAAAAAAAAAAAAAAAAAAAAAAAAAAAAAAAAAAAAAAAAAACCTTATAGAGAGCATAGTTTCAAATTAATAAAGCCATATAATAACATCAAATTAAAACATTATTTCATTAATTTTAACTTCTCTCTAAATGAGATGTTAATCAAATATGTGAGCTTGAATTGCTTATATCATCGTTGCTCTCAAGACTTTTGACACCTACCAAATTGTTTGATGTGTCGTCCGTAGGACATATAACCAATTCACACAACAAGTAAGCATACATACAGCAGACCGATAAATTGATAAGAATTGAAGTCATGTAAAATCTATTAATAATAATAATAATAATAATAATAATAATAATAATACAAATACAAATACAAATAAAATATATTTTGTGAAGGATGATGAAAGTAACCTCAACATAAAAATCCAAGTGCATCTTTAGAATAACATGCTCCTCCTTAATCCCAATAAATACAACATATGACCCATTAAAATATAATGGAAAATTTGTAAATTGCAGCCATTTAAAGTTTGTATTTTGCAAATTGCAGCCATTTTTTTTTAAAAATTGCAAATTGCAGCCTAAAAGTTCATATAAATTGTAAATTGCAGCCCGATTCAATTTTTTCATCGGTTTACAAGTTGAAAAATCTTCGATTAAGGTTTTAGGGGTCATTGTAGTTCTTCAGGGGACCGAATTGAGCTCGGAATCAGCAAAAAAAATAACGCAAGTATCTTGTTTTGCGCAACAAAAATGTATCGATTTGTGGAAAACTGTAAATATGAGACACTTACGTTATTTTTTTTGTAATTCCGAGTTCAATTCGGGTCCCTATGGACTGAAATGACCCCTAAAACCTTGACCGAAGATTTTTCAACATGTAAACCGATGAAAAAATTGAATTGGGCTGCAATTTACAATTTATACGAACTCGGGCTGCAATTTGCAAAAAAAAATATTAAATGGCTGCAATTTGCAAAATATGAACTTTAAATGGTTGCAATTTACAAATTTTTCAAATATAATAATAATCTTCTTTATTCTTTTTATTTATAAATAACGTAATATTAGATTAAATAAGCTACAATATCTTCTTGTCTTGAAAATTTCAAACATCTCTCTTATTACTCCATTAAGCCTTACCAATCACATACTACATAAAAGATAGCGATATATATAGTATGAATAATTGATGAATATAGACACACTCTACTTAGTATTTATAGTTATGTGATTGATAGTTTATCTTAAACTACTAAAGCAACAATTAATGTGAAAAGAAGTATATGATTAATATGAATAGGTAATATTTGCACAAAATAAATTAAAAATAACACATAAAGACAAGAAAGCATAATTAAATTATATGTACTACCTCCATTACATATTATGTGCAACGATTAGACATTTTTCCTCTCTACTTTATGTCAAATCGTTGCAAATAATATGTAACGGAGGTAATATAAAAAATTACAATTACAAGAACTCCTCCAATTCAATACATTCATGTAGGCTATTGATGAAGGAAAACATGAGATCATGATAATCTCGGCCAAATTAAGGCGGGGTATCTTCTAGCAACTCCAATTGTAAAAAGTATGCATCCACAATGCCCCACATGTTAGAAACACACACTCAATATTTCATGGTAACACACAAACCTGTATTAAATTTAAGCAAGCCTATTTTTGTTTATGAAACCATAAAAAATCGAATATGGGTTCATTTTAAAATTTCTTTTCCAATGTACTATCTACTAGTACGAATAAGTTCAAAAAAAAAAAAATTTGAGTGGTGTGTTGTTAATTTGCCAACAACAAAGAAGAAAAGAAAGAGTTACAAAAAGTAAAAAAATTAAAAAAAACCTTTACCTCTGATTAAATAAATCACATTTCCCAACATATTTTGATTAATAATACAAAGAAGAAGAAAAATTATTCATGTCATCTATCCTTCCCTTCCATTTATTAATATAAAAAAAGGCTAAATTAGAAAAAAAAAACACCTGTTAAAAGACCTAATTTTGTTTTTAACACCTTAAGATTTCGAAGTTTAATTATAACACCTGTTAAAAAATAAAAATTTTGCTTTCACCACCTAAATTGGAACAACGTTAGAGGATCTGTTAGCTGGGCCCACAATAACGACTATTTTTTCCAAACTGCTTTATATAGTTACGACATCCTTCACTAATGTAGAATTGTTGAGCTGATTACACAAAATTGCTTCACATTTTGCGAATTCTGACTAACAAATTGGCGAAATTGTTTGATTTTACCATCATTGTTTGGGGGACGTAGATATCAAATCAGGTAATTGCGTCAATAGCACTTTAGAAACCCTAATTTATCTTTCAAAAATAAGGCGTAAATTAATTTATATGTTGTTGACTTAAATGCATAATTCAGGTCGTATCTGGCAATAGTCATGTAATTCGTAAATAGTTAGGGTTCATTGTGTGTTAATTGTGCTGTAATTTGCGAGAAAATGAAATTAGGGTTCATTGTAGAAATAATTTGGGGGTTTTGATTTGTAGGAGTGATTGTTTAATTCCCTTGGTTCAATTGTATTTTTTTCATAGTACGAATGGTTTTGCTTATTATGGATGGAAAATTGGTGCAGGAAATGTCTTCTACAAGTTTCTCACCTTCAAAGGAGAAGAAGTGCAAATGTGGTGTTCCCTTTGCAAAGCTTACCAGTTGGACAAGGGAGAACCCTGGTCGTAAGTTCAGAACATGCAAGTTCTACGATCCTGTAACTGAGAGCAGAGGTTGTAAAGCATTTGAATGGGTGGATGAACAAGATGGGACAGCCTGGCAAACAGAGGTGATCAACAATTTGTTGTTAGATAAGAAACTGTTGAAGGGGGAAATTAGTGATTACAAGAGGGAAGTTGATGATCTTGGTGGACAGTTGAGGTGTTTGCTGAATGAAGTGGACAGGCTGAAAATGAAATGCAAGGCTTTAAACTCTGACAGGAACAAGATGAACAGAGAGATGCATGGAAGGAATGCTAGATCAGATCACTCTGTTCTTAGTCTTGCTGTTGGGATTAGTTTGGTCATATTAGTGATCCTTCTTATTAGGGGGTTTGTAATGCATTAAGTATAACTTGTAATGCTAGTAATTGCATGAAACAATAATATGGTAATGTAATGATTTATAAGTGGCAGTGAACCACTATTGCAAGCAAACTAATGTACACAATTATGAAAGCAATGAATTAAGTAAGTACCTAAGTAGTTGATATTGCATTTAAGTTGTTGATCAAATTTGTTGTTGCAGTGCCTAACAAAATTGGCTGGTAAAGCCTTAAAGCAAAGTATTAATTTAACAAAACAGGATCCTTGTCCTAAACCCAAAAGTAAAGCTACAAATATTGCAACTGATTGTTCAGAAAATACAACCAACAACTAAAGTTCAGAAAAACAATTCAAACATCATTGTGTCAGCCCTCCTTGTCTGGAAGTCAGCAGCTTAGCCCTCCTTGTCTGCACTCCAGTAGCACTGGGTTCAGGTTGGCTGGAAGAGGGGGTGGTGTGATGCTTGGCTTGTGGCTGCCCTTGTTGACTGTGTGAACCTTTCCTCTTACTCAATGGTTCACAGCCAGGTTGCTCTTGGGGAAAAGTCCTATTCCCAATGCTGTTTGGACCAGCCCCTATTGCACTCTGTTTATTAATATCAACATCCAATTTCATCACAAATTTTAAAATAAAAGTTACAAATCCAACAGCATACCTTCTTAGCAGCTTTGATCTCCCTCTTCTTCCTTTGCTCAACTACCCAAGGTGAATTTAAAGGAGGCCTTCCTGCAGTTCTCTGCTCAGTTGGTTCAGGTTCATGTGGGCCCTTGCAAGTCTTGGGATAGTGGCCAAATCCACCACAAATCCTACACTGACTTTTCCTCCTCTTTCTTCCCTGCTCCCCTCCTGTTGCAGATGTTCCCTCCCCAGGTTCCAGCTTCCTCTTCTTCTGTTTAGGTCTTCCAGGCTGCTGTTTGAATGCTGGTGGATGAGGCTCTCTCATGTTCACTCTCTCCCAATGCTTTGGGCCTGGCATAGGTTGAATTGCAGGCTCATATGCTGCTCTGTAAGTGTCCATAGTGTAATAGGGGTGGACAAACTGCTCAGCATCAACCCTCTGATCCATTATGCATGCAAATGCATGAATACATGGGATGCCTGTTAATTGCCAGTGATTGCAGGAACAAGACCAATTTGGCAAGTCAACTAGAACCTGGTCATCATTCAGCTGCACTTCATAAGTGTCATCCCTGGCAGCTTCAATTATGCAATTCCTAGCCACATAGCTCATCCTCTGAAATAGCTTATGCACATATGGAGTGATGTTGGTTGTGATTTCCTTGGAGTCCTCCCACTTCTCATTATTTCTCCTCATCATGTACCTCCTCATCCATTCCATTTGGGTGAGGATAGGTTTGTCTCTTGCATCTCTGATAACAGAGTTGAAAGTCTCACACATGTTGTTTAGTAACATGTTGGACCTGCAACTGTCACTGAATGCATGTCTGCACCAGTGATGAGTGGGGGTGTTCTCCAAATAATTGTAAGCATCCTCATCAAGCTCCCTAATCTGTTGCATGGCTATCTGAAACTCAACCTACAACCACAACAGGAACATTATCATGAAAGAATAACATACACAACTGTTGTTGCTCTTATTTTGCTTTTATACACAACAGGAACATTATTACATGAAGTAGGTACATGAACAGGAACAATATCATGAATTTACTTATTCAAAATAATTTAAGGTCACCTAGAGACTTACAAATGTTGTTGCTCTTGCAGCACTCCAAAAGAGCTCTTTGAAAACTGATCCAGTGAACTTCAACTTGAAATTTGCCCAAATGTGCCTAACACAGAACCTAGTCTCTGCATTAGGCACAACTTCAGACAGAGCTTCAACCAGTCCCTGTTTAACATCATCAACAATTACTTGTCACACTTCAAACAATAAAGAACAGGACAGAAAATAAGACTACAATAATCAAAACAATATTACCTTCTGCCTGTCTGACATGAAGGTGAAGCCTGCCCCATCTGCACTTCCAATGCATTGCATCAAGGATTCCAGAAACCAGACCCAAGTCTCCCTGTTTTCAACCTCACAAGTTGCCCAAGCAATGGGGTAAATGCTGTTGTTCCCATCCTTCGAGATTGCAACTAAAATCAGGCCTGGATAACCTCCTTTCAAGTGGCAGCCATCCACCCCTATAATTGGCCTACAACCCTTCAAGAACCCATCCTTCAAAGGCCTTAAACAAATAAACATCCTCATAAACAAGGGAGGCTCAGGCTTTTCAATGCCATCAATCACAACATTACAACCAGACCCAGGGTTGTATTTCATTACAGCCTTCCCATAATCCCATACCCTAGCATATTGCTCTCTTGCTAAACCAAAAATGATCAACTTAGCTCTACATCTTGCCATCCAAGCCCTGTAGTAGGTCACTTCTACCCCCAAGTCATGAAGCACCCTATCCTTGATTTGCTTAACCTTCCATGATGGGTTAGTTCTGAACTCCTCAAGATACCTCTCAGCAATGAACTCTGCTGTGACCTTCTTGTTCTCCCTGCTTCTCACACATTTATGCTCCAACTTCATGGTTTTTATTTGCCAAGTCTGTTGTCTTTTTAACTTAGTAGCATGGATCTTGAAACTACACTTCACTCCACCCCTGCATATACACAAAGGCATCCTACTTGTCTTTGTGTCAAACTTGCACCCATACCTATTCCTACACTGAATAGTAATCCTAGTACTATCATTGTGTAAAAAATAGTACTCAAACCTATTCTGTATGGCATGCACTCTTAAAGCTTTCCTCAACACTGTAGCATTGCTAAACCTAAGCCTATGAACAAGTACAACAGGCTTTGAGAAGTCAGATTTGTCATTAAACCATGGACTTGTGTCCTCTTCATCAGATGAACCATCCAAGCTCCTTAGGTCATCTGATTCTCCCTCAATTTCTTCTTGTAGTTGTACCTCATTCACATCCAAGTTATCTGTCAACCTTGCCTTTGGATCCTTGGAAACCCCCTCATCATGTACATCAAACTGCTTCCCAAGACTTCTTGTTACCTTAGCTAAAATTTCTTCAGAATTCTGCACAAACCACCTCTCATCCCCACTGTCATACTCCTCCTCTCCAGGCTCCCAAGTTATGTCAATCTCACTCCCATCACTTGAAGAAAAATCATCTTCCCTCCCAGTCTCACTGCCCTCACTACTATCCTCAAAAATCAATCCTTTGCCTACAGATTTTTTTTCCCTTTCCCTTATCCAACACCTTCACACTGCCAGAACCCCTTTCAAGCTTAGCTTTACCCTTTTGTTTCCCTTTACTCAACAACTTCCCTTTACCAGGAACCCCCTTAATCTCAGCAGAAACCCCTTCAACCCTTTCTATCCCCTGTCTAGATCTAGGTTTAGGAGATTCTTCACCCTCCCTCACCTTAGGCTCATTTTTGTTAATTCTTGGGCTCTTCCTAACTACAGCAGGCTTACCTGAACTTTTCTTCCCCTTTCTCTCAGCCTTTACTGGAGTGGACTGGGCCTGGATCTCATGTATGGGCCTTAATGTTTCATTAGTAGTCACAAATACTTCAACATACCCTTCCCCATTCACTGTCTCCAGCAGCCCCTTCACTTCCTCTTCATTTACTAACTCCCTTCTCCCTGTGTTAAAGATCCTACCTCTTTCTTTATACCAAAGTCTGTAGTTAGGTGGGACATGGACATTAAAGTTCACAAACCCATGCACAACAGCTACCCTCAAATAATGCAAATCTATCTTATCCACTACCACATCCCTCCTCCAATAACATAACCCACCACACCAACAAAGCAAATGCTTTGATTTTGACACTTGTTTAGTAACAAAAGCACCCCCTACTCTAAATACTATATCTATTAATCCATCTTCGTTGTCGGCCATTTTTCTACCTAATAAACAAATGCAAAGCAAATCAATAAAACCCAACATAGCTAACCCCATTACACAGTCAACCGCAATACTTTAATCAACAAAATCAAACATATTTAAACCAACACAATGACAAACCAGTCAACAGTCAATAAAATCAATGATTTAAACTAAATAATTCACACATTACACCAAATCATACTTAATTTAATCAAATTCAACTTTAATTACAAATTAACCCATTTTACTGTTCTTAGGGTTCCTAATTTTTTTTCCCAAATTACCCTACTACACCCACACAAATGGCATAATGCAGCACACAGTACTTGTTGAAAACTACTTTAAAGGGTTCGAAAGGTACCTGTATTGGAATCTTACTCCTGTTGCTGTCAGAATCCACGAAAAAGTCCAAGCTTTTTGGATGTTGGAAATGGCTGACGGAATCTCGCTGACTTGTTTCGCTCCAATATTGACACCTCCTCTTCCAACTCAATTTCTTAATCACAACAATCAGTATAGGATTTGAATGTTCGCAGTAATTTTGGTTGTTCAAGATTTGCAGACGAAATTCAATGAAGCAAAATTAGTTGGGTGGTAATAAATGACAGAGAAGATAAATTCGAATTGAAAGGGATGGAATTTGGAGGGTAAACGACTATGTGGGCCCCACCAAAAAATTCCGTCACAGTTTCTGTTATCTGGTGGTGAAAGCAAAATTTTTATTTTTTAATAGGTGTTATAATTAAACTTCGAAATCTTAAGGTGTTAAAAACAAAATTAGGTCTTTTAACAGGTGTTATTTTCTAATTTAGCCTAAAAAAATAGAAGTATTCGCTCTTCTCTATCTCGTCTTCTCATTCTATCCCTTTTCTTTCCTTCTAAATGTTTTTTTTATTAATATTTTGTTTTTTTTACCAAAAATTAAAAATTATTATCAATTGGTTTTGCTTCCCAGTAATTTCACTTCAACAATTTTGATCATACTTTTAATTCATCATAATCTAGTTGTCAAAATTTTCATTCTTTTATCAATCGTTAACACTTTTTTTACCCAAAAAAAACAAAAAAACCACCAAAATAAATTTTTTACTGTAAGAAAACAAACTTAAACCCCCCCCCCCCAAATAAAAAAAAATTAAAAAAAACTGCTTAAGCGATTAATTAAGGTTTTTTGTGATTCTATTATCTTTAGCTACATGCACACATTCTCCCAAGTCACATTCTCCCAAGTCACATTCCAATTATTTCATTTTTTGCGTATGTAATGAATTAGTGCCTTCAATATTTTTTTTTAATTAA